GAGGGGATTAAATCAAATAAAAGATAAAGAACAATATTTAAAATGGTTTGGATACTCTAAAGTGAATTATACGTTCACTGCTATTGTATTAATAAGAGAGAGTGATCAGGTCGCGTTCAGCGAGCTAAGTTACAGTTTAGAGAGAGAGAGAGAAAGAGCTATTTCAGCATAAAATTAGCTAATCCCCGCAAATGAGAGAGAAGTCTTTTATTTATAGTGGAAAAGCTCGAGGCAATGATTATGAAAAAAGCTGCAAATAGATAGGTGCCGTACAAATCTTTTCTTTGCGTCCTATTGATCACCTGCTTAAGGGATTTCTTCGATTAAAGCAGGGCTTTGACACGTGGGCAATCTCCATTCGCTTGCTGGTCTAACACTCACCTGCTGCATTGACAGGAGCCATGCCACTTATGTTAGGCGCGACGTGGTTATACCTGAACGGTGCAGAACCCTTCTGAACTCTGACTATCTTTTACTGCCGGCATAACAATATGGAATCCATGCACTGGAGTGTACAGAAAATTACCCCAATTTGACATTGATATTACCATCCAAATTGCTTTATATGGTTTCGTTTATGATTCATCTTCTGATGATTTCAAGGTTGTTGCGGGTTATCAGTTATCACCATGAATATTGGGATTGTCTTTACAAATATACGAGTTGCAATTTTCTAAATGAAAACAGATTCCTGGAGGAATATCAAGTTTGAATCTAGAGTTCAATATCGTAGCGATTTGTTCAGCCTGCGAGGCTGCTTTCAAGGGACCTTTTGAATGGAGCTCTCAATTGGTTAATATACTGGGATTGTCATCTCGAACCCGCTGAAATTTTAGCTTTTGATTTAGCAATGGAGAAATGAGGAGAAGTGCCAATGCCGCCTGATATTACATCTCATTTTAGAATATTAGACCCACTCAGAGTTGTTGAAGAATGCCTTTGCTAATTCTATGATAATGGTGTATAGCCTTATGGGTGATGAAGAAATATGGGGTTAAAATTTTCTTGGGAAAATTTTACTGGATTATCGAAAGAAAATCATAAAAAAAAAATTAGGTTTAATAGAAGATTCAACCCACTCAGAGTTGACCGTTAAAGTTAACTGATGGCAAGGTTTTTTTGATATTTAAACTTTTTAGAAGAGCACTATTGCCTTTGCAAATTTTATGGAAAAACCAGAGGTGTCTTTTTCTATTTTCTCCGCTGGTAATACTATAGACATCGACGCTTTACACCAAAATATTAAACCAAACAACGTGTCACCTGAGTCAGACGAGCTACATAGCATGTTAAGAAATATTTTGCGAATGAACGACTGTCCATCAAATATAGACAGTCGTCCATTTTTATTGGATGACCGTTCATTTAAAATGGACTCCCGTCCATGCAAAAATAAAAATGGATGTCCGTCCATATATTATGAACGAGCATCCCTACTTAATAAACGGACGTCATATTAATTAGGAACGTCCATTCATATTTTATGGACAGTCGTGTATTACAAATGGACGATCGTCTATCAATCTGAACGAATTATATTGAAATAACTATAGATGTGCATCCACCTCATATGGATGTCTGCCCATAAAATTTTGAAACACAGTAATGGACGACCATCCGTCCATACACAATGGATGGGCCGTCCATTTCGCTATCTTAATCTTTCCTTACTGCTTCACAATTTTTTATTTACTCTGAAAGAAGTGTAGTTTGGAAATAATAAGTTTAACTATAGTTCAACCCTTGTCATCCACCATTTTTGAAAAGTTGTCAAGCATGTCAGGAAGATTATATTAGATTGAATTAATTAACAACATGCATGCAGTTTTCTCATCCTAGGGTCTGTAGCCCCTACGACCTTCACTAACTATTTTCCTCCTCTAGAAGGGCCCTTTTATGAATGGGAGAAGGTGTCTACAGCAGATTTGTCTTTGGCGCCGAAGCTATATCATCAGTGGGTGGTTTTGTGATTTTCAGAGATGAGTTATCCTTGCCATCTTTTTGTTCTTTTCTGTAGGGATACAGAAGAAAGGTAATATACAAAATTCTTTTAAAACAACACTTTTGAAGGAATAATGCGGAAATGGGTGGGCGTCATCTAAGAGGGGATGCCCGTTCATTACTTTTGTTTTTAAATTTTTTTTTAATTTAAACAATAGACAAACGTCCGTCCATTAAATATGAACGTCTATCCATAATATATGGACCGGCATCATGATTTTTGTTTTAATTTTTTTTTTTAAACAATGGACAGACGTCTATTAAATAGATGAAAATCCATTTAAAATAAACAGTCGTCCAATAATCACAGACGATCGCCATATTTGATGGATGACCGTTCATTTGCGAAATATTTATTAATATGCTACGTGGCTGCGTCTACTCAGTTGACACGTCTTTCGATGTAAAATTTTGGTGTAGGTCTTCGGTGTCCGTAGCATTATTGTTTATCCCCTTCTTCTTTCTTTTCTCTTTCGCCTCCCTCTTCTTTCTCCTTCTCCCCACCTTTTTGGTTCCCAGATCTAGTCTTGCGTTGCGCCGACGAGGCTAGATCATACCTCTTGTTGCTGCATCAAGGTCCGAATAGCCCTCCTCGTAGCTAGTCGGCTACCAAAGGCCGAAAATAGCCTCCTCATGGAAGCTGATGGAGGTCGTTCTCGGCCACAACAACTATTGTCAGTCTGTTCTCATCCTCCATCAGTTGTCATGAGGCTGGCTTACCAAAAGCCATTCTCGGCCTGAAGCGGCTACTACGAGATGTATTTTTTTAGGCATTTTGGGTTTATATTTTGGGTTTAAAATATCAATAATGATACGGACACTGATGATTTGCACCAAACTTTTGTATTGATGTACGTAGCATCCAGTCAGACGTGATCAGATTGGAGGCAACATACCTCTTCTGTGAATGAATGGTCGTCCAACAATTATGGACTTCCGTTCATATGATATGGACTGGAGTCTATTTATTATGGACAGACATCTACCTTATATGGATGCTCGTCCATAAAATTTAAAAAATAAAATAATGAATGCTGATCCATCTTATATGGACGGACATTCATATACAATGCACCATAAAAATAAAAAATAATTCAAGATAAAAATTGTTTTGGGGCGGCGCAATTCCTTGAAATCTGGTTAAATGAAGACAATTTGGAAAACAAAAGTCTTACTTCTGACCAATTATAGACCCAATTGTTCTTCCTTGGTGCTTAAATCAATACTATTTTCTTAAAAAACTTATATTTTATAATTCGATTATTATAATCCACAAATGAAGTTAATATATTTTTTTTTTATTTAATAACCAAGATGTCCAGTTCAACTTACACATATTTTAACTAATCTCGAGATATATTGAACATTTTGCAAGCCTCAAAATTAATCCCTATAGTCCATTAAGCATCCTATAAGTCTCAATAAATTAGGTGATTATTTTGTGAGACTCGAATATAAGACCTTTAAGTAACCCATTACATGGCTAAAATCTTGTGACCACAAAAACTAGTAGTTGTTAATTTATAGTACTTTATTTATCAATTTAGTAGTTCACTTTAAACTTTGAAAAATAATGAACCACACGGTTTTTATGGATTAAGGCAAAAAAACAAATGTGGTGTTGGTGAGATATGTGGTCAATCAACATTTGACTTTACAATCTCTCATAGATAAAGATTCCAAGGGTGAATTTGATGGTGTATTTTATGGACGGGCACTCATATTATAGGGATGCTCGTCCATTAAATATGGACGTTTGTCCATATAATATGAACAGGCGTTCATTATTATTGTTTTATAATTTTATAATTTAAACTATGGATTGTAGACGTTCGTCCATAGTAAATGGACTCTCATCTATATAATATGGACGGGGGTCCATTGTTATTTTCATATGAACGGGAGTCCACTTAAAATGAATGGTCGTCCAATAATCATGGACGCTCGTCCGTATTTGATGGACGACCGTTCATTCTCAAAATACTTGTTCATGTGCTACATGGCTGTGTCTGACTCAAATGACACGTCTGTCGGTGCAAAAATTTAGTATAAACCTTTGGTGTCCGTATTATTGTTAAAATATTATGGGTTTTACTTCTCATTTTTTTAAGTTTAGATGTTAAAATCTATTTCACTAAGTTTTTGGCTTGTAAGTTGCAACTACGAATTTAATAAGTTTGAAGTAACGTTTAAGTTTCTAAACTTTGGTTGAAGGGTAAACACGTCATTTCTTAAATTCTGTTAATTTTGTAAAACATTTAACAGAAATGGGGTTAGTACCTAATTTTCATACAAGCGGGTGTTTAGAGTGATAATAGTTGGTTTTTTTTTTTTTTTTTTTTTTTTTTTTTTTTTTTTTTTGGAATTCTTTGCTGAAATGAATCTAAATAAGGAGAAAACTTACAAAACCTACATAAAGAGTTTCTGAAGAATTCGCAATGGCAATGGCGTTATTTCCCCAGGACCTCTTAGTTGATATCCTTTCCCAATTCCCTATCGATCTCTTTTGCGTTTCAAGTGTGTATCCAATACCTCCAAATAAATCCTCCCTAAATTTTGAATCCACTTTTTCGCTTGTTTCATAAGACACTTCTTCAACACCCGTCTTCAATCCTTAGATAAATCAATATTAGATCTTTTTGTGACGACGGTTCATTAGTAACACTTGAGTTTCCATTGAAAAAAGTTACGATTTCAGGGAACGTACCCATGGAAATGGAGCTCTCCATTGGTTAGCAATCTTTACGTCGCCTGACGCCCGCAAATATTTTAAGATTACAGCTTTTTGATTTGGCAGAAGAGAAATGGCGAGAAGTGCCAATGCCGCCACTAGTGTTAAAAAAATATTGGTAGATTTAACGACCCTTTTGAGAGTTGTTGAACAATGTCTCATTATAGTTATGGTAATGGTAAGATTGTTGAGTTATGGAAGATGAAGGGATATGGACTAATCTCTTCTTGGGAAAAGATTTTCGGAATAAATATGAAGAATTGTGAAGAAATTAAATTTGTTGATGGTATAAAATTAAAACATTGAGGGGATGAGACCAAAATTCCCCTGCAGAACAGAAGCTGTTGAAGATGTTCAGGTGTAGTTAAATCCATGGCAGACTGAAAGCCAGATAATCAGAACTAGGGCTAACAAAATCCCAAGAACAACCAACTTTATCTTCATGTTCTGATACCACATTTTCTGTTGGATTCGTGTCCCTGCTTCCCTGTATACTCGGGACTGAAATGCAACAAAGAAAGCGGCTCAGTATTAACTCTGAGAAATATGATGCTTCATAAAGTTTCCGTTATGCTAACTTACCTCTTTATGCAAATTCTCAGTATTGTCAGCAAGATTCTGAATGTTTTACCCTCTGTCCATAGCATGAAAGGCATATATAGATCAAATAAGCAAGAAAAGCACATAGCTTACTCTTGATTTATCAGTTATTTCATCTCATCCATGCGCAAGAGAGCTACAAGGATGCAGTCAAGTAAAACATGCTTAACAACTAATCCAAACAACAGAACAAATCAGAGAGAGAACTTTTATCCACTGCTCCAGTAACTGGACATTATCCATTATACAGCTGATAACATTTGAGACTAAAGGCACTTGGTTGTCTACCTTACTACACCTTCCTTAGAGATGATCTCAAAAAGTACTCCACCATCCTAATCATACAGACCAAAAACATCAATTTTCCTCTGACAGCGTCCACAATAATCTAGAGTCCTCTCTGCCAAAGCAATGGAAACCATGCACCAAAGAGTTTTCTGTATAAATCAAACTCTCCAAATGTATCGACACAAAGCAGATGTCAAAAACTTGCCCACTAAAAAGAAAAAAAAAAAGAACAAAACAAAACAAAACAAAAGATGAAGAAATTAAGAATCATGAACTCGTTGTGATGATATTTACTAGATAAAGTACTGTTACGAGTTGAGAGAAAATTAGAAGCACATAAATAAAAATGCTTAAAACATATATATAAAGTATCATATACATAGGGAAAGAAATTATCAGTACTCAAGAAAAGTGGGCATTTTCTCTGGGTAGATTACTTACTCTGTCAATATTCTCTAACATTTATACTTTCGACTTCAGAAACTTGAGCCTTAACAACTTTTATTAGCTTTCAATCTTTTCAGCACGATCAATGATATACTTCATGCACTTTTTCATAATTGGCCTGTAATCAGAAGTTGTGTATTCAACTTTAACTACTAATTTATACACAAACGTGTGGAAATATTATCATAGTTCAAACTTTTGGCCACAGCAGTATCTGCTTTACCACCCCATATCTTTTCTTAAAGAATGAACACATACGTTCCAAAAATGCAATAGAGATCTGCTTGCTAATAGATTCTTTCGCAACAACACTGTAAGCTGCATAATTGCAGTAACCACAAAGTCAAAGAGGTTTGGAAAACCCTGCAAATGACAGAGATTACACGTATTGACTACAATAAAATTAAATAAATGGTTCCATTGATCCATTAAGCACTGGCAGTGATGGCTGCAAATACCACTCTATGGATATCACCTCATCTAATTTTCAAGCCACCAAAAATCACAATAAAAATGCTTTTTAACTTGCTGAGCAAGTTGAAAGACTTTAGACAGCTGCAATAGTTAGTAGAAAACAAAACCAAGAAACGAGCATAAATTAAGCAACAATGTAAGAAAATATTAGGAATTTTTTACGAGGTTGGAATCTCACCGGCTCCTCTTTTATTTAAAGCTCCATCTGAATACGACTGTCTAATAAAATCCCATCATACCTATAATTTAATGTAGTAAATTACTGGATATGCATAATGTTGATAAATAATTATAGGAAAGTAAACAGGGAGAAACTTACAAGAACAAATAGATGTTCAACTGATTATAGTTCTGCGCAATCATACTTGAATTTGCACCATATAACCAACCATCAGTGAAATAATTAGTCAAATTTAAAATTAGAGTAGAAAGAAATTAATAGTCGATGAAAAATTTACATTCAATAAACTTAACAAGAGCCAAGGACAGAAAATATACATAGCATCTATCATACTGCTATAGAATAAAATTTTAAAAATTGAACTAGAAAAAGAGAAAGATCATCAATACCTAATAATCGTTAGATACGATCATCTTGCCATCGAGCCATATCTCAAGGACATGAGCAATCTTAGGCCAATCTTCACCTGTTCCGTGTTTGCATCTTTCACTTAGTGCAGGACATCTTTGAATTGCTAATTTTCTCAAAGAAGTGAGACTACGTATATCAGGAAGAAATGACAAGTTCGAACAACCCCTAAACCAAAGCATTTTAAGTGATTCTCACAACATGAAGTTGTGGGAATTTTCAATACTCAAGAAATGTAGATTATCGATAGAACCCTGAATTACATCTGAAGTTTAGTAAATGCAGTTTTTCCTGGACCTCCTATTCCCACAATAGGAATGACTGACGGAGACAGTTCCATTATCACTCGACTCTATTAATAGTTTTATGATATTTTCTTTATCCTCATCTCTACCAATTACATCTGAAGCAAGCACAAAGAAGTGAGCCATTTCCCTCTCCCTAAGCAACATACCGCTGTTGTTAATTCGTCCTTTGAGATTAAATTTACCCTTAATTTCTGCAATCTCATTAAACCTCTCTCTTTTTTTCTTCATCCTATGACCCATCCCAAAACGGAAAACTACTGGATTTGAGCAAGAAAAAAAACTTCCATACCTTTTTTCCAACGCTCTGATGATAAGGGAAGTTTCTTTCGTACAGCTTCAATCTCGAACTCATCCAATATGTCATCTGCATCATAACACGCCTCTTTTAGCTTCTGTAATCAATCTCTTAACTCGTGACTGCAGACCCGTTGTTCTTCCGCGTCTAAAAGCACAGATTTGATGGTTGATAAGGTCTCCTCAAGCTTTTTTTCTAGGCCGGTTTTGACACCAAACCCCGAACAAACTTCTGCATAAGGTAGAGAGCCTGGTTTACCCAGAAACTTTTCAGCACTGCCAAACATTTGTGATTCATTCATGTTTTGAGATGACAGATTGAATTCTTGCTAAAATGAGATTGTTGGTTTAAGGTGATTCTTGAATATAGCATTATATATACAATATAGTGGAATCAAGTAAAACAACTCCCTCAAGATACCCTCAAGATAGAATACTGGCCCCTGCCTTTTCTCATGGTAGTAAACAAAGCAAATAAATATTTATTTTCCTCTCTTCAATTATTTATTTATTTACAAAGCAATCAACAAGGTGAATTCAAGTATATATTCATTGCTTAATTTATGGTATTTAAACCAAATCTTTGGAGAATAATTGATGAAATTTTATTCTGACTCAACCATTCTACTCAATATTGATTGTTGTTATAGACAGATTGATGATTAAATGTACATATGTTCATACACATGTGACAAATTTTTGCCCAAAAAAGCTTTCCAAAAATTGAACTATATTATGGAAATTTTATGTTACTAAAAAGAAAAATTTTATAACGAAAAAAAAAAAAAAATCCAACAAACAAATCACTACAGAATTATTTGACAAGAGCAAGTACAACACATGATACAAATCTCTAATTTAAAATGACCAACTTTGAGAGATGGTATAAAACATTGAGATGATGAGACCAAAATTCCCCTGTTGAACAGAAGCTGTTGAAGATGTTCAGTTGTATATCACACTGTATGCATTAAAGAATTTCTAGTTGGTGCAGTTAAATCCATGGCAAACTGAAAGCCAGATAATCAGAACTAGAGCTAACAAAATCCCAAGAACAACCAATTTTATCTTCATGTTCTGATACCACATTTTCCTTCGGATTCGTGTCCCTGCTTCCCTGTATACTTGAGCCTGAAATGCAACAAAGAAAGCAACTCAGCTTAACTGAGAAAAATGTTAATATGATGCTTCGTAAAGTTTCTGTCATGCTAACTTACCTCTTTCTGCAAATTCTCAGTCTTGTCAGAAAGATTCTGAATGTTTTCCCCTCTTTCCATAGCCTGAAATGAATATATGGATCAAATAAGCAAGAAAAGCAAATCTCTTACTCATGATTTATCAGTAATTTCACCTCATCCACGTACAAGTGAGCTACTAGGAAATAATTAAGGAATACAAGCTTGATAACTAATCCAAACAACATAACAAAATTGAGACAGAACTTTTATCTCTTTAAATACATTAAATACTAAATGTACTCCAGTACTAGACATTATCCATTATAAAGCTGATACCATTTCTGACTAATGGCAATTAGTAACTCTCAGAGTCAATCTTTCAACCTTCCAGCTGAATTTACTAGATGAAACAATTGACTGACTACTTGATGTTTAAGATGGATTAAAAACACCACAAATTGGAATAATTCTGTCAAAAGGCTCAGGCTCTAACTTTGATCACTCCACACAAATGTCATTTGGGCAAGTCAAAACAAGTATGACCCTCAACATTTTGAAACCATCAAGAGTAATTTCTAGCTTCATTTGACCACCCTCCATATAGAGCACACCCCAAACAGGAGTCATGATATGGGGTCTTCAGAGTGCTCGGTTTTCCACCTTTTACTACACCTGTCTGAGTGATGGCCTCAACAAGTACTCCACCATCCTAATCATACAGACTGAAAAAAACAATTTTCCTCTAACAGTACCCACAATAATCTAGACTCCACTCTGACATAGCTATGGAAACCATGCTTTCCAAATATATTTAAACCTAAGGCCACAAAGCAGAGGTGCTTGGTAACCCACCCATCATTGCAAAAACTTTCCCAATAAAAGAGGAAAAAAACAGAACAGAAGATGAAGAAATTAACAATTAATTATGAACTCTGTGTAATGATATCACTAGATGAAGTACCTTACAGGTAGAGAGAAAAATAGAAGCACAAAAATGCAAATGGTAAAACATGATAGAAAGAGCCATATACAGAAGTTAAAAAAATTGACAATACTCAAGAAAAGTGAGCATATTCTCCACCCGGATTACTTACCTTGTCAATATTCTCTAACATTATGCTTTTGACTTCTGAAACTTGAGCCTTAACTTTTATTAGCTTTTCAATCTCTTCAGCGTGATCAATGATATACTTCATGTGCTCTTTCATAATTGGCCTGTAAATTAGAAGTTGTGTTTTCACTTTAACATCTAATTTCTACAAAAAGCATGGAAAAATTTCATATCATAACTAACAGGTTTTCTTGATGAACATACCCAAATTCCTTGTTTAAACTTTTGGCCATGGCAGTATCTGCTTTACCACCCCCATATCTTTTCTTAAAGTCTGCTCTCATACGTTCCAAAAATGCAATAGAGATCTGCTTGCTAACAGATTCTTTTGCTACAACACAGTAAGCTGCATAATTGCAGAAATCACAATGTCAAGAGGTCTGGAAAAACCCTCAAATGATAGAGATTGCAAGTATTGGCTACAATAAAATAAAACAAATGATTCCACTGATCCATTAAACACTAGCAATGATGGCAGCAAATACCAGTACTCTTTGGCTATATTACCTCGTCTGCTTTTCAAGCTACCACAAATCACATAAAGATAAGAATTTAAGCCAGACTCTGGAGCTAATTTGGTATGCGCAAGACCATTTAAAGCATGGAATATCTAAAAAGGTAAAACTCTAACGGAATTCTACAACATGGAAGCCTGCAGATAGCCTGGCAATATACCTACCTCAAAAACGCAAACCGAGCACATACCCTCTATATATATATATGAACAGTGAACTGAATGGCTTTCTCAATTATCTGAAAATTAGCTTTCTAAAACTTCTTATTGTGATGGCTACCACCCCATAGGACAATGAAAGCTCAGCAACTCTTCTAATACTCGGCCAAAAGATAAAGAAAAAACTAACAATAACAATCTAAACCCACCTCTCACCATCCAGTAATAAACAAATAACTAGAAAAAAAATTCAAATTTTCTATAATATATATATACAGGTTGCTATTCGTTGCAAACCAAAAGTTCATAGATAGACACAACACAGACCAGGTTCTTCTATCAGCCCTATCAATAGAAATTCAGTCACAACAGTTGAGCTCTTCTCAAGTTAAAACTAAAACATTTAAAACGTTTTCACATTAGATCCAACTACTTTGAGTTATAATTCAACTTCAATTCAGTGTAGCTCCTTAAAGAAGAACAGTAAAGCTGAAAAGATTGATAGAATTACAATAAAATTACCATAGCCATCTTCAACAAGGAAGTTGAAGGTGTGGTGGTCGCAATTGTAAGTGAACTTGTTGTTAGAAGAAGGGAGTCTCTGCAGGCACTGAGCAGCAATCGCCGGGAAGTTGCCAGTGAACTCGGTGTACTCAGCCAAGATCACCGTGCCTCGCGCCACGAAGCTGTATATGAAAGATTCCTGACTCATTGAGTCGCAACACGGCCGTAACACGGACAGAGAAAGGAAGAAGGAACACGATCAGACAAAGGAGAGACTTTGGCCTTGTTCTACGTCAAGTGTTTATTAGGCTTTGTTTGGTTCCGGTGTTTTTTTTTTTTTTTTTTAACTTCTGTCCGAAGAATTTAATTTTAATAGAAATGGCAAATGTTTTTATAAGACCGAAACGACGCGTTTTGACTTGGAAATATCAAAGTGACTTGGTAAAATGGAGTTGATTATTATTCTTTATTTCAAGTAATGATTATTTTGTCTTAAAGGTAATGTATGAAAAATGAGTAAATTGATGGAGTTAAGCAAAGTATAGAGAAGGCTTCGTTAGAGAAAGATTCTGAGTTGACGGCGATTTATTAATTAAATAAATAAATTAAAATGGTATTAGGTGGAGCAATTATTATTTTTAGTTGTGACTCTAAAATTAAAATAAAATGCAGACAATAAAATACGACAATAAATTTCTTTTTGAAAGGTGTGTGTTGTGTATGGATCATGAATGGACGGGGTCGAAAGTTGGAGATTTCAGGGCCCTCTTGGACCTTTTAGGAGGCAGATCTTCAAAGAATCATAGGCCCCCGTCTAATTTCAACCCCGGCTTCGGGTTTGTTTGTTTGTTTTTTTTTTTTTTTTTGGTCATTAATTTTTTAATTTTTTTAATATATGCGACTACAATTTTGATACATATATACACCTTGTAAAATAATAAAACTCCTGTTTTTTCTTTGAAAGTTACTCTTTAATCCGTTTTCTTGTAACCACAATAGATGATTATGAAGACAGAGAGGGTGTCGATAAATATGTTAGTTGATCTTTTCGATTTTAAGTTAGTCATCCAAATTTAATTAATGTAAAACAGTTAAATGATTAGAGTTTTATTGAGGGTTTATAGAATGAGTAATGCTACAGTCACCAAAAGTAGTGCATCGAATTCATACACCAAATGACGTGGCGAAATCCTAACCGTAGATTAATATTAAGTTATAATTAATCGACAGTCAAGATTATGCCACGTCATTCGGTACATGAATTCGGTGCACTATTTCTAGTGACTGTATTATTTTCCTTATGGAATACTTAGGTGAAATACCATAAAATGATTTAAGAACCCTTGCTTTTGGTTCGTCAGAGAGTTTTGGCTCTCGAGAGATGTGGCCATGTTTTATAACCACTCATATTATGTTTAATAATTTCTCATTGAGCAAACGACATAATCTCACCCGAAGTTTGGGGAAATCCCAAGTTAATACTCTTGGTTCAATTTATCCCGTTTTGCCACCCTTAATCTAACATTGTTAACAACTGATGGATCTGACACAGTGACAGCAAGTGACAATGACTGAAATACCCTAGAACCTTTGACTTTAGATTATTTAGCAAATAAAAAACTAAATAGACTGTAAAAAACCAAAAATGCCCCTATCTTTAGTTTATTTTCCAAATATAGTGAAATTACCCTTGAAAGTTTAGCAACAATTGTTTAAATGTTGAGGGTTTAGCTATATAATGGCAAAGTAATAGTTCTTAAAAATTAGCATACATCCTGAAAAGTTTCAAGTTTGAACACAAGCACATCCTACACAAAACCAACATCAAAGATCATACTACAACCATACGTACTAAGTTAAACACTTTTGTATTGAACATATATATGAAAAATACATAATTTGGCCTTGAAAAGTGAT